CCTACATACAGTGTCAAAACTTGCAACGATAATGTACGATGATTTTAAACCGTTTTCTGTACTCTTTTTGTACACACACGCGCCAGGTGTTTTGACACCATACAGTACATTTCCCTAATTCTGTCAGAAAAATTTTACCATTGTTTGTTTCAACTAGTGTGCGACTATTTTACATCCAATCAAAAATATTTTTATATTTAGGTAATCTCTGGATTCTTCTCTTTCAAACGATAAATTGTTGGTCTTTCATTTTTCATGTTTTCATAGTGAAATGATCGGTCTACGAAAAATACTTTCATCTGACAGAATTAGGTCGTAGTTTCCTAATCCTGACGGTCAGCAAAAAAATGTCCCTAATGATGACGCCTCTAACAAATTGCATAGAAAACCTCAATTTTAGAAAAAAAACTATTTTTTTATTTTTTCGGTTGAAAAATGAAGGGGAGATGTCAGAGACATTTATGTAGAGCGCATCACGCTCTATCATAGTCTAAAGGTTCAAGACGACTGTATTTTCATTTATCAAGATACAGACCTTGGAATGAAGACATCTAACGGTAGCGGAAATAAAGTTGTCCCCGATTCTGACGGTAACTTTTTCTTATCCTTAACGATGACTTTTCAGTCATTTTTTGTCCAGAGTTACGACAGTAACTTTTGTTTGTCCTACATGATAATAGTTAACTATTCCTGTGATGATACTTCAGATATACAAGAAAAAACATACTTAACAAAGGATCTTTCTAGAAATGTCTTTATGGATATAAATCTAGAACATGCCTCTAGCATTGATAAAAAAAGCTAGTTTGCTCGAGCCATTACGGAGATATTCAATTTTTTTTTCGGGTGCGTGACTTTTGGGTCACCCTGTGTATATATCATTTGACGAATACATCATTTAATCGAGAAGTTTTATGTATTCGTTAGTTCTTCATTTTGCAGTACTCACTTGAACTTTAAAAACTAATTTCATTTGATAAAGATGTTTTCTTTGAACGTATGCGGCACTGTTTATTTATCAGTCGTAGTCTGATGGATTGGTGTGGTACTTGGTGAGCGTGAATTTGTGCTAGCTGCCCTTCTTCGCCCATACTCACATCATGTTAGATTATAATCAAAGATATTTTAATAAGTTGTTGTTTATTTTGAATAGAAATTAAAATATATTAATGCTGCTGTTCATCAATGATCTTTTATGGCAGACTAATAAATTAATATTCGATTTAAAAAAAAAACGGTGATAACTTATGACAGAAAAAGCTGAAATAATCGAACAATTTTTGATTATTCCACTGACTTTTTTATATATGGGTTACTAGAGTTAATTTGTTTGCAATGATAAATATAATTCTGCATCTTTTAATGACGTACCACCAGGAGATCCACCAGTAACTAGCACTTTTCCATTGGCTAGTACGGATACTGTGTGTTCACCTCGTGCAACATTCATATCATCAATAACTGTCCACGTTTCTGTTAATGGATCATACAGTTCAACACTATTTAGAGCATTATGTTCAAATCCACCTATAACTAACACTTTTCCATTTACTAATACGGTTGCTGTGTGTTTCCATCGTTTATGATTCATACTACCAGTGATTGTCCACAAACCTGTTAATGGATCATATAACTCAGCACTATTTAGAGCATTATTATCAAATCCACCGGTAACTAACACTTTTCCATTCATTAATACGGATGCTGTGTGTTCACTTCGTGTACTATTCATGCTATCAATAGTTGTCCAAGTCTCGGTTGATGGATCATATAATTCGGCACTATTTAGAGCATCACGACTTATATGTCCACCGGTGACTAACACTGTTCCATTTGTTAATACGGATGATGTATGTTGGCTTCGTGCACTATTCATGCTACCAGTAGTTGTCCAAATCTCTGTTGATGGATCATACAGCTCAGCACTATTAAGCCAATGACCATTACCGTATCCACCGCTCACTAAAACTTTTCCATTTGTTAATACAGATGTCATATGTTCCCCCCGTGGATCATTCATGCTACCAGTAGTTGTCCAAGTCTCGTTTGATGGATCATATAACTCGGTACTATTCAGAAAATCTCGTTTATTAAGTCCACCAGTAATTAATAATTTGCCATTGTTTAGTAAGGATACGGTGTGTTCACCTCGGGCATCATTCATACTATCAATAGTTGTCCAATTTGCTGTTGATGGATCATACAACTCAGCACTATTCATTGCACCATTATCAAATCCACCACAAACTAATACTTTTCCATTTTTTAATGTGAATGCTGCATGATCCCGTCGTGCATGATTCATACTACTAGTTTTAGACCATTCTAGATGAAGATATTTCAATGTTTTCTTTCTGCAAGAATTTTGATTATGGAACTTTCGCTATGGCCTAATCATGCGTAGATTTGTTTAGATAATGCAAAATGAAAATGGTTTAGTCCTTTTAAGACAAAAGTTTCTGAATTGCTGGGAACGTAAAAAAGTCTTAAACTTATTGGTAAAAAATATTGTTCATGAAACAAGACAACAATAGGCTTCATATTTTTTGATAAAGCTCAGTGCCATATTTGTGTTTCTCAGACGAAGAAGATACGAAAGTAATCCTAGACTAAGGAATGCAATGATTTATTATGATTAAAGGACAGAGACTGTATCCTATTGTGCTCGCAGTTCGAACTCGGCTTCTCAAGGCCAGGTATGGCCCATTCTGTCAATGAGGCATGATTTCTTTACAGACTCATTCCGCTTTACTTATGCAAAGAATTAATACAACTATTTTTACAGTGAAATAAAATCAAAATTATTGATGTTTAGACGACTATCTCGATTAAGTATGACTATAATGCGAAACAAAAAGTGATTTGAATTAAAACAAATTTAGTCTCAACCTCATAAGTCATGAAATTTATTGAAATTTCACCAGAATCGTCGAAGATCTTTGAGGAATCTAGAATGGCTTTCGTACATTTAGTCGCTTTGGATGATCTTGAAAGAGTTTTGCTCATTTTGAGTTGAGTTAGATAATCTTTTTTGTCTGTTACATCTCTTAAAATTGCAAAGATCACTCCAAATTAGACAAAAATGCCTTAAATCACCAATCGGAAATAGATTTTTCGTCATGATTATAACAGCCGAGAACTTAGCTTTAAAAAGTTTATGTTTATAGATGAATAAATATATTCCATCAGAATCAATCAGAAATGAATTACTAAGCTCGATTATTATTGTTTTTGCTTATAATCGATTTGTAATTGAATAATTATCGATGAAAGTTTATAATGATTCAAATGAATTTAATCAAACCACTCCAAGTAATTTTATTATTTTAGAGCTTGTGTTTGCAATCAATTCTTTCTTTAAGTAATCATCTAACTATCTACTTTCTAATGGTTTATTGTTTGATAACGAAGAGAAACATCGATCGTCTAATGATTGACAGCTCAACCATCGATCCAGCTTTTGATGAGCCGCCATTCTTTACCCTCACGTTTATTATTTTTATAAAGATATTACTATGAGAACTGTTCAATCATGTCTTAACAAAATTGGCATACTTGGTAATAGCTGACATATATTAAAAAGATCTTTTACTCACTGAATATTAGTTTTAAGTTCATGAAATATGGCATTACATCCCAGTCGACTCTAACAAATTTTAATATTGAACGTTGCTTTTAAACAAAAAGATAACATCTGAAGCGACACATCTTTACGAGTTCCATTGGTATACATGTAGAAAATCTGATCATGATTAATTCATATATCTGATATGTCTGGTTTTTCCATTTTTAATTTAATTCGCTTCAACCCTTTTTTCTCTCTGTGATCCACATTCATAAAATCAGCATATCTTTATGCATTTTGAATGGGAAACATAAATATGTCGACGATTATCTGCGTCGGATATATATATATGTAACTCTCATCTATTAAAAATATTGAATTTATGTAATTCTCTTGACTATCTCCACTATTCTTTTAATGAGGGTGATCTGTCGTTCTTGTGCCGAGTAAAATATCCATCACTGAGTATGTAACTGTCCGAACAAAACTCATTTTTTTACATATGAAAAAATGAGATTTACAGTGATTATTTTAACAAAAGAAACCGATTTTGAAATTGCATCATGTATTCTAGGTAATTTATTGGCTATCGAGGAACACAACACCTATCTTGTTTCGTATGATTTCAGAAGATAGTCGGATATATAGAAGCCGTTGTCAAACCTTACATGTTGCACTTTATTCAAGGATTTGGTGTTGTATCTGATTCAAGGTAAGATGTTATCTAACGACGACGACGAGCCAGTGCCGTAACAAGGTGTTGTTCTTTTACTTCTCCACTCGCAAAGTAGCACTTAAGGTGGTTAAAAAGCATTACAAGAAATCTCACCTGAATGTTGAGTAGTAATCGCAGTTAATGTTGACATTGATGTTGATATTATGGTTGTTTGTGATGCTGTTGTTACTGTTGATATTTTGGTCGTCAGTGGTAGTGCTGTTATTGTTGACTGTCCTGATGCTGTCGTTAGTGTTGTGGTTATTGATAGTATGGGTGCAGTGGTAGCGATAGTGGTTTCTGCCTTTCTCGGTACAAGAATCACGAATTTTAATACCAAAGAGAGAGTAACTGCAAATATTGTTAGAGCGATAAAAGCTATGAAGATGATCTTAACCCAAAGGTGGTGCCACCATTTGCGTAGTTCAAGTTTTTTAGTGACATTCTCATTGTACAACTGATTGTAATGCATACTATGTGCTTCAAAAAACTTCGACACTATTTTATATTTGTCTATCACTCTCACAGTAAGAACGAAACATAAGTTATATTACCTCTAGTGTATAAAGTATTGCTATACTCATATCTCGATGATATAAAATTTACATGTGAGCATGAAAGTGCAAAACTATGTTTTACTTCTAAATGATGTCAAGGTAAATATCGTTATCTTAGTGTTATTTTTTCGCTATTCAGTTCCCTCGACTGAAGGGAGAGTCATACGAAATAAAATGAGTTTGTGGCTATGCTTGCTTGGGTTCAAAGGTCAAGTTAAAGTAAGTTTGTAGTAGTCAACACTGGCTCCGGCTCATT